TTACACAAGTCGAATTTAAAACATCTACTCTCCTAATCGGATCATCTAATGGTCGACGTTTAATATGACCAAACCATCTAAGACGACTTTCTCTAATTTTGTCTGTCACAGGAGCTACACCAACCCTATCACGAATATATTCATTCCGCATTTTGTCTCTAAGTGTAAAGCCACTCATCCACCTAATCATTCTCATCTCGGAAACACTTATTATTATGCTTCTCTTTTAAAGGCCAACATTCAGCGCCATAGAGCATTGCTTGTCTCACCACCGTCTTATAAAATTTTCCTTTCAGTCTTAGCGGTACTTTTCTATCACACAAAAGGCCCGAAGCATTCCTCCACTTCAACCAACCAACTTGAATTCTACTATTTACATCCCCATCTATATCACCATCGCTTTGGACAACGGACCCATGATATAAGACAATGTATAAAAAATAAATTCCAAATAACACATTAACAACATCTGACTGATCTCCTAAAGTTGTTAGTGCTAAGACAGCTGATCCTTCTACTTCTTTCTCTTCAACTCTTTGTTGTTCCTCTACAATGAGATTTGTATATACAGTAGAAAATACAATTATTTGAAGGCCCATCCTTGCTACAGTGTCTATTATTGGTTCTTCAGTTTTTTATTGTTATTCTACTATGGGGGTGGTATGTACAACAACATCTTTATCGGGTAACATCGGCTCATCGACTTCCCCTGTTGTTTTTCTTCTCTTCAATTCGAAGGCAGTGAAGACGAACTCACTATCTTCTTTCTTCTGCTCTGTCTGCCCTTAACCCTTTGTATTAAGCTGACAACGGACCGTTCATGTGTGTCATCAACTTTATTACCTTCGACAGGGGTTCCTTCTTCTCCCACAAAAGCCGACGGCTGGATTCCCTATTCTCCCACAAAAACTGAATGCTGAGTAACGTCAATGTTCTGTTGGGCTCCCACTTCTCTTTCACTATAAACAAAATCAAGAGGACTCCAACCATGATGAATATCATGAGGACTCCCACCATGAGGGGAGGCTGACTGAGGATCATCTACTCCGATCTTTTCGCATTTATTAGTTGAAATATTTTCAGATTTATCAAACTTATGTTGTAACACCGACATTTGCCCCTGCAAACTCGACACCGCAACAGTTATTGTATTCAAGGTTCCTTGAAATTCAGTGAACCATTTCTCTTGGCCTTTAAGCAACTCAATTATTGATTCCATGCTTTATTCATCGTGGTATACAGTGGCTCGGGGGCGATATCCCCTGAATCAATTGGCCCCATATCAAATGATACAGGTGTCCCTGGTCTGCCTTGGACTTGCGTCGCTGGAACTAGACCAAGTAATCCTTCATCTGGATTGGATAACAGATTGAGCTCATCCTCTCTCAGATCCAAAAATTTATTATGAACCTACAAGTTATTTCAAAAAGAAAGACTTTGATCATTACTAGTTTCAAAATAACATAATAATTTAATTGAAAATTAAAAATATATGTAACTTGCCTGATCAGGAGTCAGCCTCTTAAAAACTATATAAAGTTGGGATGAGCTCAAACTTACAGTTGTTGGCCACCTCAACATTCGAGGTATAGCCTCAGGATTGGCAAAGGTGACATATTCAGCTTTATTCAAAGAAATAAATAACATATTCAGTTTTACACAAAGAAATAAATAGCATTTGACTTTAATACGATGTACTTACCGTTAGGAAAAAAAAGAAAACCATTTATATATCCCAGAGGCCGGTTCCGCCTTATTTTGATAGCTACCGCATTTATTTGCTCAATAAGATATTCACATAGTGCAGCGAACCAATTAAATGAAGCAAATGTATGTACATTCTCTCCAAAGATGTAAAGTTCTTTGGATATACTGAAATTACTAGACGAAAAAAATAAATTTGATAACAAATAATTTATATACAATTGATTAAAAGGGGCAGAAGACTCCCCAGTTCCAAAGTTCAACAAATCAGTCTTCATTTGACGGGCATCAACGCCACAGGATGGAACTTTCTTCCACTTTGGAATTTCTCCTCTATTTGGCATGCCAATCAAAATGACAACTTCATTAGGATTTATCCTCAAATCTTTCCCTCCCATTCTGAAAATCATTTTTTCATGTATCCAACATTGCAATATTTGAAGTGTGACCACATTGTCTTGGGGATAAGGTGAAAGTGCAAAGAAATGATCAACTTTCAACATTTTGAGCTCATTCCTCATCTCGTCAGATACAGCAGGCCTGACCTTATCAAGCGCATCTCTAACTACAGATGTCCGACATCTACAACTCATGGACATTGGGTTCACAAACCTACATCAAACAAAATAATGAAAAAAACAAAATAATGCAAAAAAATAAGGGGTTAGGTAGAAAGATTTTATTTCGGGATTACTATGGTAATATTTAAGCAATATTATGTGATCTTGTATAGTATTATTTAGGTTATATTATAGTATTACTTACGTTCTATTCTGGTCTTGTAGTATTTAGGTTATATTTTGGTTGTATTTCAGTTGTGTTTTGATATTAATGTAGTATTACTTAAGTTGTATTCATACATAGTACTTAGGTTATATTATGGAAGTTTTTCCGTTGTATTCTGGTATTAATAGTATTAAGGTTATATTCTGGTAGTTTTTCCGGTAGTTTTTCCATTTATTATAGTATTATTTCTGTAATACTCAGGTAATATTTAAGGTAGTGTTAAGTAGTGATTAGTTTGATATTATGTGTTAAGTAGTGATTAGTTGTAGTGATTGGTTTTGTATTATAATTAAATAACATGTTTTATTGTGGTTTAATGTTGGTTTTTTAAGGTAATATTGTGTGCACTTGTGTACAACTCAAAAACAGTAAAATCTCAAAAATACATTACTCTGATTGATTTGTTACTCAAGTACAACTAAAATATTACCCAAATGGTTTTCTTAATTAAAATAGAAAAATGGTTACCCAAATGGTTTTCTTAATTAAAATAGAACCACCAAAATAAAAATTACCTGGATGAGCCATCTTGAATTTCCTTCTTGTTTCGCTCTTTCACTTCCTTTTTCTTGCGTTTCTCGGCCTCCATTGTCAATTCCTCTTCAGTTTCCATTCTCAAGGGCTCTTCCATCTCCATTCTCACTGGGCTCTCTTTGGTTTCCAACAGCAACTCTAAAATCCTAAGTTTTTCTGATTCAAAAACCCTAAAAGATCGAATGAAGGTGCTCAACGCTCTCCTCACTCGGGCGACGTTTGGGTTTCCGATGAAATCACCTTTTTTCAAGCGCGCTGTTTAACTTTTACGTGTTTCGGGCCGGACTCGGGCCGGGTCGTGCCTTAAGAATGCCTTAATTTCATTTTTTAGTTGTGCGGGCCACGCATAGTTGCATGCGGTGTCCACACAGAATAAGCGCTCCAAGTTTTGACATTCATTTTAGGCTCCATTTGGGGCAATGGGGCAAGCGCGGTGCCCCGCAATTTTGCTTAAACGCAGGTAGTGGGTTCGATTCCGTGATCCGCTTTCCGCTTCGACGTTTTATGCTGGTGCCTCTCCCGCGATTCCTCCCTTCCTCCTTCGGCTCGGTAAGCCGCGATCTTCCCCCAATGTCGTCATCTTCTGTCGTAATCCCCGCACGTTTCTATTGTTACTTTTTTGTTTGTTCACGCAAGAATCCCTGCCCTTTCTCTCTGCCGCGATCCGGCTTCTGTTGTTTTCTCCTCCTCTATTCGCACGAAGCAAATGCCTCCCCCGCTCCTTCCTCGTTGTCGCGACTCTCTAGCGCCGAACCTCAGGCGACCTATAGAGACCTGAAATTACCATCTTTTTTCTTCTTCCACTCCATCTTCAACCCACATGCACGACTCCACTGCTTCCATGCGTTACAAGACTGTGTCGACATGTCACCGACAACTTCTAATTTTGGTTAATCTCATACTTTTTTTAATGTCTTTATACATCGATTAAATTTATTGTTGGTTACTCCTTTTTCCATTGTGACTGAGAAGTTGGAGTAGGCAATTAATCAATTAGCCCATACACGGTTGGGGTCCTTTTTTGTCACTTCATAGAGGAAGAAAGAGGTTGTAGAACTTATTATTTCTATTGTTGGTTTATTTTTTTGATCAATTGATATTGTGTAATAGATAGACAATGTTCTTGTGTTGAAGTTATCCTCAAAACCAACTAATTTTGATTTTTTGAGAATTAAAAGCTTCGGATGAAATTTTAGTGAAGCAATTTTGATGATTTTTATTCAATATGTTGATTTTTGTAGGTTTGACTATGGTTTATTGTGATCATATATGTCAATAATAAAAAATAATGTTTTCTATAGCTCTTACAAAACAGAGGCAAAATGATCTTTTTTCTAGAAACAGCTGTGTGTCAGCTGTTTTCACACAGCTGCAACAAACAAACAGTTAGTTTCTTCACAGCAGCTTCCTCGCAACAGCTTCCTGGAGCAGTGCAGTTGCATTTGAAAAGTTGAGAAGCTACAGCTGCCCCAAACAGACCCTCAGTAGTGCATGTTTGCGTGAGTGTTTGCGCGTGCATGGGTGCATGTGTCTATTTGTCTCTCATATGTAGGCCAGCAGCTTTTATTGGATCCGTAGTTTATTGAAATATGATATTTGTCGTAGCAGCAATATCACAGTAGCAAGGGTATCCTAGTCCAATACAGCACTCCAGCAATCCGCTGCACATCGACTTCCAGGAAATCCCAACTAATGCTGCAGAGAGTATTCTTTCCGTCTTCTTAACCATCTCTATGTATACTCCTTGTTCTGTAAACTCCATATAGAAAATCACATATAGTTTCTGCTGCTACCTGCTTCCTCCATTCTCCATATATTACGTCTTCTTCTCGGTTTCTGCTTATTTACAATCGGAACAGCATATTTCGTCACCACATGAACAATTTTAAGTTTAATGTTAAGCTTTAAGATTGAATTTTAATTTTTTTCCAGTTTGTTGCTTTTTTTTTTTTTAAATTTCACTGTATTTTCCTCAGGTAATGTGCCCAACTTGTCTCTGCACTGGGATGGTAATGGCAAGTGAACATGATCCTCGTATTGATCCATTTGATTAAGACTTGCTCGCTTTTTCGGGGCACAGAACTTGCAGCTTCACTGAAGTTCAATATTTCTCTCAAGTGGTAGATAGCCGTTGTTGTAATATCTGTTACTCTATTTAAATTTTCTCCAAGTCTTGTAGCAACTAAATATTTATATTATGATTGCATTACAGGGAAACATGCTATTTACACTTATCTAATTACGTATGAGCAGTTTCTCCTGAAGGCAAGTGAAGATTCTCAACATATATTTGCATGCCATTTTGCCAATTCGTAGTATAGAACTTTAGTCCCACATCTCGAGTGCTCCAATTTGAATTTTATAATTTATTTGGCCTCCACTTTGAGTGCTGCTATAGTTGGTTGTTATTTAGGTGTAGGGTAGGACTGAAAATCTCTATCACTCATATATGACCAACTCTTATTGAAGAGAGGAAGGTTATTGTTGCCACTGTGCCATTCTTAGCATGTTGGGAATAGGTTGGTAGGACTTCTTGTTTCCTTTTAACTAATATAGTACCAAGTTAGCCATATTTGTGTTGAATACTTCATTCCTAAATCACAAAACTATTACAATGAAGAAAATAAATAAGTACTGAACCAATCAATTGTCACCTGCCTTTGGTGGAACAAGAATTAACTTTTTCATGATCAAAATTTTTTTATGGTAATTAATAAAAACTATGAACTTAGGCATGGATGAGGGCTCTGAAAATTCCTGCCTCATCTCCTTCGAGATGCATGAGTGGAGCTCTATGTGTGTTCCAAATCAAATAGAAAAGAGATTTTGCTCTTATTTTGTGAGGATTGTAGATCTGAGATTCGAGGATTCTCGTTGGCGTAAGTCCATATGATTACTTGTTTCTCTCAATAATGAGAAAGTATTTTTTATTAAGGCTAGTTTTTAAGCGTGCTAAGTGTTTAATTTAGCACATAGTATTAACAAAATTAAATTTGAGATCATGCAATTATAATGGCGAGGTTTGAGCAAATGATGAGGGGGAATGATAACAAATCCGATCAACATCTTACGATTCTTCCATCCTTGTTTATTATTAATCCTAGTCTACTTAGTCAGAGGAGGTAGTCAACCCATCTTGTCGGCAACATAGATTAGTTTATTCGATGGAACCTCGTAGACTTGAAGTGAATGCTTGCCTAAGCAAACAAATTTAAATCGACCTTATCGAACACAAAGCTCTTGCATGAATTTTGATGTAGTGGCTTTTATTTAAAAAACTAACCTTCTGTTTAGTGTAAAATTTTGAATTATATAAGAATTTGAATGTTTACACATATTTGAGTTGTTGAGTCAAATGTAATTTAAATATGTAACACCTAAAATTCAATCTGGCCGGTTGGAGTTAACCGGCTAGGGTGTATGGCTGTTATCGCGACTCAGACGATAGCAGTTCTTTTGGCTTGATGAGGGCGATGGCTTTTTCAGGCTATAGATAAAGCCAATGGAGTTTTTTTTTTTATGTCTTGGAGACAAGCTGCAATAATAATAAAAAACACATAAATACAGAGAATGTGATTTCATGAACCTCTAGTTGGAATTAGTTTTTAATAGTCCTTTCGTTAGCTTTTTGATGAGTCGATTTTGTGGCTTAATTTTTTGGAAGATCGTTGCTAAGTTTCTAAATTTTTGGATATGTTATTTGTTCAACTCAAGTCTCACTCATTACCCATCTCTTTTACTTTTGTTGGAACAACGCCTTCGGAGGGCTGCACTTTTCGCCAGGTTTTAGGCGGTTCTTGTCGCTTCCTTCATGGGGGTAACCACCGAGACTCGCTATTGAGGTGATTTACGCCGTACTCTTTGAGGATCTTGTCGCTTTTGGGCAGTGAACCACCTCTATTGTTTTTTCCAAATCGAGCTTTGAGATGGGTTTTGGAGTTTTCCTAATGTTGAGTGCGAGGAGAGGTTTTGTTGAAGAGTGAGTTTATTTACTCATCCTGGAGGAGATGTTTATTTGCTTATCCCAGATGAGAGGATTAATTGAGAAGAGAGAGTCCATTTTGCTCATCTCGGAGGAGAGATTTTTGGATTGCTCACCTTGAAGGAAACTTATATGAGAGGATAGAATATCTTTTTGTCTTTTTTCCTTAGTTCACTTTTTTTATTTTTTTTATTCATTTAAGAGAAGTAAACAATGTAAAGAAAATGGGTGCTTTTCTTTTTAGTTCCTCCTTAAAATATCCTCTTCCTCTTGGAATGTAGGAGATGTACTTCCTCCTTTTTTTTTAATTTCTTGCTTCATGTTTATCATTTATTTTTTTCTTTTCATGTTTTGTCATCTTCTTTGTCTTGTAACTGATTTTTTGTCTTCTTTCTCTTACCTTATTATTTTTATTTCTCTTTTGGGTTTTCTCCCACGATTTACGATCACTGGAATTTTTAGAATGTTGAATTCAAATTAGTCATTTGGATTGTACCCAAAGAATAGAGCTTGAAATCCGAGAGAAGAAAAAAGTGAGAGAGAAAGAGAGAGAGGCTTGCCCCGCTAAGGGGCAAAGAGGGGTATTCTCGGGCTATTTAGCTCATTCTACGGTTACAACTAAAAGAATGAGAGCGACTCCCCACATGGGGTAAAATGGAGAGCCTAAGTACTAGGACCCTTTTACACATATTGGGAAAACTTTATGTTCAGAAGTGGAAAGAGAGAAAATGATATTATAAAATTATCCTTGATTAAAGGAGGGTGGTGCAGGTTATTTTACTCTTTTGTGATGGTTAATACTACTCGGGACCTCATCGACCGCCGGATTTGGGTTTCGGTGGGTGACCAGCTTAGAAAGTGGCTGGTTTAAAGCCGGCCGAGTGAATTTTAGTTGGGTGGAAGTTGGCCGGGTGAAGCTGGCTTGGGTGGAATTTGGACGGGAATCTAGCCAGCTGGAGGTGGTTGGTTGACGGAAGGTGGCCAACCAAGGTATGTGGCCGGTGGCGCGACTCAGGCGACAACAGTTCCTTTAGCTAGACGAGGGTGTTGCTGTTTCTAGGCTATATATATATATATAATCTCGACTATGCATGAAAAGATGGATTTAAATTTATAAAATTCATAGTGATATTTTTATGTGACATGAGAGATTTGGGTTATAATGTTTGTATTAGAAATGTAAGTACATAGGAATCATTAATATTTATGTTGAAAGATGAGTGGTGCATTGTGATATATTTTTATGTGATTAGCCACTTCGAGGAAGTATGACAAGAACGAACTCAATTTTACTCACTATGTGTTACAATCACATTAAGGGTTCGTTTGAAGGAGCTTCAGCTTTCAACGAAGTTTCTTTAAAAACACTTTCACGAAACGCACAATGTCGTATGTGATCTAAAATGACAAAAAAATATTATTCATTTGAATCAACTTCAAGAGACACTGTTTTATCAAACGAAAGTAAATCTATGTGCAGGCAATTGCTTCAACAAAACAGAGCTTAAATGCCTTCTTAAACTAGGCCTAAAAGATAAAATCAACGTATACAAAAGCTTACGGAGCCCTGTTAAAATCTTAACCGGCTCATAATGGGTTATAGGCTATAGGGCCCAGTGAAATTATAAACTGGAACAGATGAGCTGTTTGTTTGCATTTAAACGAACCATGAACTTCTAATTTTAAATGGTTGTTTAAATATAGAAAAGTTAAATTAAAACATATAAAAAAATAAAAATATTATATTTCATATATTTAAAACATTTAAAAGTGAAATATCTTGAATTAAAACATTACATGTTGAATTAATAAAAATATTATTATTATAATTTATTATATCATTTAAATTTTATTAAAACAAATTTAATATTTATCATTCCATTTGATTTAAAATTTCTCATTCTGATTTATTATCCGATCCAACTATTCTAGCGGAACAAGATACCGGAGACCAATGAGGACTGACCGCTAAAAGCCGCCAAAGAGTAAAATATGGGCATGGTTGTAAATAAAGTGAAAACTTAATGTAATCATTATATTATTTTTTTTATAGAAAAAAATAAATCGCGATTTAATGGAGATCAAATAAGTCTTAGTTTTAATGTATAAATTAATTAACTAATTTATGCTTCAAAAATTAAAAAAAACACGCTTTTTTAAGAAAAATGTTTTGAAAGAATGCTAATGGAATTGGATTTACTCTAAATTCCAAGAAAATTGAAATATATTTTGAGCGATAGAAATGTATGTATATATATATATATATATATGTCAATTGCAAATGTGAGGGCAAAAAAAATGCATGATAAAGCGAATGACATCTAAAGGTTCAAACATGGGTGTAAAACAAGTCAATCATGAACCAATGCACATTCTGACTTGATCTTTTTTTTATTATTTTTATATATTTTATTTTTTATAGACTACAATTGTGTTTATGACTTGATTTGAATTCATTTATTCATTTCAAATCGTAATTGGCTCGAACTTAACTCGAATATTCTTAAAAATAATAAAATTTCATTTCTTTAATTTGCAATATAAAATTATTATTATTATATTATTTATGTGATTCAGCCAAAATGAGCTGAACACAATCAAATTTTGTTTGTGTTCAACTCGTTTATAAATCGAGCTAAGAAAACTATTTACAATCAACTCATGCTTAACAATTAAATTAAATATGATTTACTTCAAAAGCCAAGATGTCAGTGAATAACTTGATTCAAAAGGCCTAAAAAATTATTTCTCAAAATGCTATGAAATCTAATGATCAGATTAATTGTTTTTGAGATTTTTAGATGACTTCAATACTTAAACACACTAATAATTTTCATCATATATTTGCAATTAGAAGATTAAGTTCTTGTAACTCGAGGACTAAAAGTTAAAAAAGCCCTATTTTTTAGACGATAATAAACAAGTATTGACAACGACAATCATTAGGTTATAAAATAAGTTCATAAAACTTCATATGAATATTCCTTCCGAGTTGAAATGGATCTAAACAAAACCCCTTGAAACAAAGATAATAACATGTAGATTTATTTATGTTTTGATTGGATTCTTTTGGTTTTTGATTTTTTCTTATTTGATTTGTAGTGGTTTGTTTTTTCTTGAGTTTGCTGCCTGTGCTGGTTTTTCTCTGATTTTAGATCTTCTCTACTGTTAGTTGCTTTGTTATTTTGAGGAGATTTTGCTTAATCTCTTAGTTTCTGGCTCTTTGAATATTTTATTGATTCTTTGCTTTGCGGTTTATTTTTTAATTTAGTTATGATGTTGCTTTTCTTAACTTTGAGATTCAACCGTTCTTTTAAAATTCTATCATGGTGTTTTCATCTATTTTGTTTGCTTCATTAAACTTGAACGATAACTTTTTTTCAATTGTTTAATGAAGGTTGAACTTGTATTTGGGTTTTATCTGATGAGTGAAATTTATTTTGGCTGTTATAGTGGATAAATTGCTTCAAAGAATTATTGTTCTACCTTCTGGGTTATTACTTTCGAAGAATTTGGGTGGGACTCTTTTGGTTATGGCATTTAGTTTGACTGAGCTCTTAATTTTTATTTTGTTTAGGGTGATTTCATTGATTGTGTTGGTTTGTTTTGTTTGTGGGTGTCGTATTTTTTATGGCTCTCTCTGGTTTCGATTTTTCTCCAGTCTTTAGTAGATTTATCTCTTTGCTCATTTTTGTTCTTATCCTTTTTTTTCTTCTGTTCATAGATGTTTTTGGTTGGGGCCTTTTTTTTGACTCACTTGATCTAGTACCACCTTTATGGTTTTGGAAGTAGATTCTTGGGGCCCTTCTTTTTGCTCATATTGATTTTGCAGGTTCTCTAAATGATGATTCAAGTAGTTGTTGCTATTCTCTTGTTTTTCAAAGTGTTACCTCGAAAATGCTTCTTGGATTATTGTTGATTGGTGATTATCTGATTGCTGATTCGAGGAGATATTGTTGTTCTATCATATATTAGGAGATTTTTCTCAAGATTTTTGTTTGGAGATGCTGTTGCTCGGAGCACACTTTTTAAAGATTGTTTAGCTGAAGTTGTTTATCTTAGAGGTTGCTTCTTCCTTTCCAGTTCTCGGCGAAGTTCTCTGGTTGTTGCACTTTGTGTTGTGGATCCATTTTGGAGCTTATGGATGGTTGAACTTTGTCGATTTTTTATTGTTGGGTTGCTTGTTTGTTTGGGTAAATTGCATTTTGGCTGCCACTGAAATCTACGTTTTCGAACCGGCCCTGATTAGGTGTGGTGGCAATTTTTTAGCAGCGGTCAAACATTTTTTTTTAAAAAAAATTGCAATAGTCACAGCGATTTTTTGAACGTCATATTATTTTTAAGCAGCTTTACAATTGTTTATTAATAAGTTGCAGCTGCCCTAAACAAACCCTGAATTGCTCATTTCCTTGCATCAATTGACTAACAAGATAAGCTCTCTTTCGAAAGTAAATTGATTACAATGAAGTAAAATTTACAGCAGCTTTTTTAAGTTGACATTGCATTCACTCAACCAGCGCTCAATACAAAGAAAATACTAAAATGAAGTTTTAAAATAACAACATCCAAAGAGTATAGTAAGGCAATTTTCAAAAAAACGAGGCAGGATTTAGGTTATGATTAAAAAGATTGAAACAATCATCAAATAAGGCCAAACAAGAAATTAAAAATTCTAACATTTGCTAATCGATAAAGTTCAAAGCACATAGCAAATACAAACACTAAAATTGGTGGGTAATGTAAGGCAAAGTGCAATAAGCTAAACCATTTACAAAGAAAAAATGCAACAAATTCATCATCAGTTTTAGGCATGAGTTAATGCAGCAAAATATAAATAAGTAAATACCTTGGCTCTTGATCAAGTGCTCAAGGAAGAAAAACAAAAATTTTAGTTCTTGGGGCTAGACAATACTAAAATGTTGTTTCCTTTACTCCGTGTCAAGATCACCAACATCACAGATTGATGGCAGCGAGGCGACTGGCGAGAGCCGAGATGCCCCAAGTAGACCTGTTGTGAGTTATGATTGGAGTGCGGAGAGCCACAATTAGGGCTTGAAGTTGAAGCTTCGCACGGCTTTGAATTCGAAGATTTTGGTTTTGGACTTTAGATTTCATATTCGCCTTATTGAAAACCAAAATCCAATTGTTCCATGGTTGCGGAGATGAGTATGTGGGTAAAAAATAGAATGGAGGACATTATGATTAGGCATGAAATAAAATTAGATTTAAATTCTTTATTTTAATTTCAATTATTTGGCTTAGCAGTTAAATTAAAATTAGAACCGAACAAATAACCAGTAACCGAATGTTGAGATTTTCAACTTCAAAAAGAGAGATAAAATTTTAAAATCGAACCAAATCAACCAAATATGTTCCGCTCGATTTGGTTTTTCGGTTTAGAGCAAAAAATGAACACTCCTAATATTAAATAATTAAGTAAACGACTATTTTTCATTTGAAATGCCTATCTAAATTACCTTGCTCTTTTTCTAAAAGATTATACTTTTTTTTTAGATTATTACTCTCTTAAAGTAAGTACATCAATGCATTCATTTCCAAGCTCTACATAGATAATCTCTTTGCATACCTCTTGGAGACCAAGTCCTCTCCTCAGCATTACGGGGCTTATTTACAACATCCTCAGAGCAACTTTAAGATGATGTGATTATATATGAGTTGGCTTCGAGAACCTTCTTTTTGTGAAAGCTTCTCCTTTTCTGTCTAATATATTGTATTCTCATCTCCTATAAGTTTTAGAATTTCCCATCTAACATGTCCATGCTTTTGAAATTTGATTGCATATAATTCATTGCTCTTCATAAGAAACAATCTTGATTTCTAATTTAAGAAACTTTGCCTTGGTCATACCTTCGATGCTTCTCAATTATATGTGAGGTGGCTCTTGTGAGTCATGAGCCTATAAAGGGTTTCTTTTATTTTCCCTCCCCCTCTTAAATTTTTATCCCTTCATAGTATGATCTACTCCTCAACTATAAGAGAATCAAACAAACAAACAGGTGAAAATGTAGTCAAATTCTTGACCTCAGTAATAGTCATAGTCTTAGCATCATTTTCTTTTGGTAAACATTTAAAACTCTTTAACCGATATTGATCATTATAGATTCCTAAGAGAATACAATATATTTAGAAAATCTATAAAGTGAATATACATATATCAGAAAAAGATTTAAACTACCTATACAAACTAATTAATTCTCATGTATAAACCAATTCAAGTGAGCAAATTTGACTTTTAATAGAGCATTAATAAGTAATAATCACTTTTGTAGTAGTAAGCATAAAAAACTCTTGTATAATCATCCAACAAGAGTGTACAATATAAAATATTATGACCTCTAGCATTAAACTTTCAATCATATACTTATTATCATTAAAACCAAGTTAATGTAACTTGAGACTAATCTTCCTCTTTGTTATGGTGTGAAACCTATATTAGCAAAAGGTATAATGATGGTGTAACATGACTTCACACAATTTCTAGTAAGACTATCATTGTAATTAGTTCTAAAAAATATGAAATGAATACCCTCATTAAATTAAAATTAGTATTAGCAAAGCTCCTCCTAAATGAATGCATCCATTTAGCAATGATGTCAATATATTGATTTATCCTCCTCTTGACAACATCAAAATATCAATTTGGAGAGAGCACGCATCCATCAAATTAAAATTTAAACAAACAAATAACCTAAAATGAGAATCTAGCATTCCAAGCCTTATTCTTAAGATTATTAAATCATTCTTTAGATAATAATTTTGTAAAAATATCAAATATTAATAAATTAGTATTAATCAATTCAATGTCAACATCAACTCTATAAAAATGATCCCTAATAAAATGATATTTAATTTCAATATATTATTTGTTTTAAATGTGATTGTTTTATCTGGGATTTCACGATATATAATATATACAAGAAAGTGAATGTTGCAGTGATAAATAGGATTCACAGTTGAGTTAATAGCATTAGATTTGACAAACTTGAGTAAGATAAATCCTAACTTAATTTCATAGCCTTCTAAGTAATATTTTAGCCATAAAACCAAAGCACGTAATTACTTACAACTACATACTCAACTTATGTGGTGGATAAAGCCACAAAATTCTATGTTCTAACCAAAATATAAGCGATGATACCTAAAATTGGCATATTCTAAAGGTACTATTTTAACCAACCTTGCAACTATTAAGTAAATAAGTCATAAGCTATTGAGTTCATGGGATACCACAATCCTAAATTATGCGTGCCTCAAACAAATTGAAGTATATTAAGGTGGATTTTTCTTGTTGCTTCACATAAAAGGCTAAAGAAAATCATTCATTCCTCCCATCAAACTAGTTTTAAATTCCATACTAATGGTCAATAAGAAATCATGGCACAAAAACTTGTCAGCACATTCAAATACTATCCTATTTTCATACTTTAATTGATGCTTAAATCATCTCTTAGGTACTGTTTGAGATCAATTTCTATTTTCTATTTTCTATGTTTTATTTTTGGAAACAAAAAATTTAAAAAAAAAACCCTTACTTGTTTATTTATTCTTTTTATTTTACTTTTAAAATACATGAAACTTGTTTTCCAGAAATCAAAAACACAGACTTTGTGTTTTCGTTGTTTAAACATGTTTTTCGGAGCATTACCTGTGCGAGGCTCCGTCACCCGCAGCATGCCGCCTGTTGCCTGCCGATGGCCGCTCGACGACAGCAATGATGCCTACGCCTTCAGGAGCTCGCAGCCAGCCGTTAGCCCCGATTCTTTTGCTACCGCCAGCAACCTGCCCGCCTCTTGCCCACTGCCTCGTTGCTCCCCCAAGCCGCTCGTCGTTGCCCGCTTCCCACACAGGCAATGCTTCGTGCTGGGTGGAGCAAGAAAAACTTCATATATGTCATGGGTGGAGTAACTTAATACTATAGCGTCACGTAGACAATTGTTTTATAAAAAGTATAATTTTTTCTCTAAAAAAAAAAATCTAACCAAACATGTTTTATATTTTTTTATTTTTGAAAACATATAAATCATAACGGTACTAAACGAGTTTTCTAAAAAAATAAAAAACAAAACAAAAATAAAACAGACTAAAAAAATTAAAAAATAAAGAATTGAAAATGATCCCAAACAGACGCTTAGATTTTAAAAAAATGAAAGTTGTGTCTACTCTAATTATAGTAAATTCATTATCAATTTAAAATATACTTAATTTATTATATCATGTGCTAGAAGCATGTTTCAATGTATAAAAAACTTCAATTTATACGCATGATTTCAAACTTGTGCCTCTCATAATATGAGGATTCTCTACAAAGTCATCTTGATCAATAAATCTATTCATGAATACACTTTTAACATTTATTTAATAAAGTTAAAAAAATACTAAAACAAACTAACACAAAAAATAAAATAACTTAACAGCCCTTAGTTCTCTTATAGGTGAAAAAAAAATCTTCAAAATTTATGGATTTAATATAGTGCAGCCCTGTGCAGTTAGTATAGCTTTGTTTTTAACACTAAATACTAAACCATCGAAATTATTTCTAAAGACTCATTGTGTTGCAATCGCATTTTGATCTTGGGTTTAAAGATTAATTCTCAAGCATCATGATGCGGGGCATCAAAGTAAAGCGGCAACATGTGCATCCCAGATGACTGTACCAAACCAGTCCAAGCTTTCTGAGGGGCCGATCGGCTCTAGCAAGGGGAGTACTCCTTTCCTATTGAGAGAAATCCACTCTTAGTCATTCTAGGGTTATTTATTTGCCCCATGGTGTAGGTTTGCAGTTGTTGTCCTAAGATTGTTGGAGACAGCCGTCGACATCTCTGCTTTCCCTATCAGGATTGTATCCAGGGGTCCAAGTAGTGCTTGATTGTATCAAATTGCTGATATGGAGATTATCATTTCCCTACCTTTCCTCATCCTTTGCACATCACTCCCTGTCAACCTCCTTTGCAGCAGGAGCCCATGACAACTGCTATCCTACTGTTTTTTGCAGTTCCAGCAACCACCAGCCGCCGCCCAAAACACATCGCCTGCTGCTTAACCCGCAGTCCAACCCACTTCCCTATTTGTTGCCACCCCAGACAGCAAGTACGCATTATCTTCCTGTTGTTTTCCCAACTGTCCAGCCCACTTCCCTGCTTGATGCTGCTTAAGACAGTGAATGATGCTTCCCCACTAGGGCTGTAAACGAGCCGAGCTTGAGCGAGCGCAGGCTTGGCTCGTGTTCGGCTCGTTCGAAATAGCTCGTGTTCGAAATTGACTCGTGTTCGAAATTGGCTCGTGAATAGTGAATAGTCTGTTCGAAATTGGCTCGTAAAAATTAAACTGAAAAAAATAGATGTAAAGTGTGAGATTTGAACCTGGACCAAATATATACAAAAGAAGATATTAACTACATTACCACACAAGATGTTATGATTTAAATTTAGATATACAGATATATAATATATTATTATATAAATTATATATATAATATATTATTATATAAATTTTTTATTTCGAGATAAAGCGAGCCGAACACGAGCGACAAAGAGTTGTTCGTGTTCGGCTTATTTACTTAACGAACGGGCCGAACACAAGCTACATAACGAGTCGAACACGAGCTGTTCGGGAACAACGAGCTTCTTTGACAGGCTTTTTTCCCACTGTACCTGCCACTTCTCTATTTTGCCACCGCCCTTCCAAGCCCCTAATAACCACCACCACCACCTTAGTTGTGTATAGTGTTTGTTGTAATTTCATATTTCCAATCGTTCGATTGTAATTTCTTATTCGAATTCCACAATAAAATTGTTTTCCCATTTTTGTTTGGTTAAATCCCAGTATCACATCATTCCTAACAAATTTATGATTGTTACAGTCCCAAAAAATTTCTTATAAAACTTCATCAATTGATTTAACTTCAATTTTTTAAAAGAAAAGTTGGAAAACCAACCTCCACTCTAGTATCTTCTAATTCTTATGAACTAGGGAAGGGTCATATATAATTAGTTCCTTAGAATAGCTCTCAGCATGCTTCTACTACTTAGATCGAGATTAATTCATTTGATCTTCCAACTTATGCATTTTAATTATATCTCTATCTTCTCTCAAATCAATTTTTATGAAATCGCTCAAGTTTTTATCAAAGGTCACATGAATAAATTCTTTTATGATTAATTTTCTTCTAATTAAAGCTTAATGTATTCTACTAATTTTCAAATAACCATATATATATATATATCATCAGATTTACCATTAAATTTCTCTAATTGGACATTTCCATCATTAAACATATATCATTTGTAAATGGCTCATTTTAGATTTCTTCCCTTAAAAAAGTTCATGAAGAGTCTTCTATAGAATTGATTTGAAATAAACTCTATCCATCATATAAAGCAATATTAACAACTTTAGCTCAAAAATACTTTAATAGTTTACATACATCGATCACTGACCTTGGTAATTGTGCTAGTTTTATATGCTCTCTTTATAACTCCATTTGGTTGAGAGAATCATTGTGAACTGAAATTATGTCAAATCCTATGTTCATCACAATACTCCTCAAAATATTTATCTTCATATTTTCCTCCATAATCAATCTAAATCCTAGTAATCAAGTATCCTTATTCTCAGTAAATATGCTTAGCAAATTTTCTAAATCTCCAAATACAACAGTCATTTGTTGAATCAAATCTCTTGCGTAGCCAGAGTAATTATCAACTATATTTAAACTCATAATTCCTTCCACCTAAATTGGTTATAGCAATATGCCTAAATAAGTCATAATAAGTAATTCTAAGAGTTTGGAAATATTCCCTATAGTTTTATTCTAAAGAAATTTTAAATATTTTTTATTATCCAAGCATCATAAACCTTATCAAAATTAAAATCTACACATGCCACAATCAAGCGTTTTCTGTGCAAACATAGAAGATTTACCCTAAAATTATTAAACATTTCAAGATCAATAAATTTTTTTTTTATATCTTTGACTAATAAGCAAAGTATTTTCAGTTTCTATGATTATGTAATGTAATATATGAAATGTTATTACTAAACCTATCTCACAAAATTAAATAATTAATTTCAAATTATATTTTAAATTATAATGTAGCAATATTTTTATCTTATAATAGAATTCTTATCAATTGATTTAATTTGTGCAATTTTTTTCTTTAGCATTCTATCTATAGGTAACAAATATTCCATCTCTTGATTTAGGGATATGAATTTTAATTTATTTTTTCATATGCCTTGAACATCAACTATCCAAGCATTTTATTGGTTTTGATATAAAGGTACTCCTACAAAAAAATAATCATAGTTAATGTAGGAATGCAACTATATTTTTGTTCATATTCATTTGTAGTATTATGTAGTCTCGAATGTATAGAGCATTTAGTGTTGGCACACTTCAGTACCCGTGCAAAAATAGATTATGTATAAACATGAGATCCACGAGCATAAGATCAAATGAAATATGGCATCTCCAAACATATAAATTATGCTAAACATTAGTGTTTGCATATGGTTTTGCATAAAGATTATGATGCACATGTGTACTCTAAGTGAGCATGGTATACATTACTCCAAGCATGCATTCTTATAGGTGTTGTAGTAATATAAACATTTGATTTTGAAGTTAATCTAATATAAAATTAAGCAATATATTTTCCTTTTCTAATTTGTAAACTAATAAAGGGTCATCACAACTGATTATTCTTCTTTTTAAATCATCACGCTTAATTTCTCATAAAAATGCATATTTACATTATCATGCTTTTTTCAAAGAAATTACTTTATTTTTAGTTTCTTAAGCTAACAGAAACTATTGGGTAAATCATCTTGTTGTCATCTTGCACGCTTAATTTTTAGTTTCTTAAGCTCTGCATGGGTAATTTCTTCATGCATCTCTTGAGAGCCTAAATCATCTTGTTGTCATCTTGCATCTACAATTTTGAGACAATCATAACTCGCATGTTTAAGTTTCTTATAGTTGACACTATGTGGTTTTAAATTGTGAAAGTTTATCATGATATGTACAACATTCTACATAAATCTAATGCAAATGTGAACAAACATGGTGGTACTGACATCTTAACCTGAAAATACAAAAAAATTAAAAAAAAGGGACCTGGTTTTATAATCTATTTAGAAAATAATAGATAATTTTATTATCATAGTAAAAAAGAAGTTCAAGAGCCTTTAAAGAAAACCAAGAGTATAAAATCAGCAAGACCTGATAATATCCCAATTGAAGTGTGAAAATATTTAGGATATTTGAGAGTTTCTTGGCTTACTAAACTCTTTAACATTATTTTAAAAACTAAAAAAATGCCCAAGGAGTGAAGGAAGAGTATTTTGGTCCCCATTTACAAGAAAAAAGGGGATGTACAAGAGTGTACAAATTATAGAGGAATCAAGTTGATGTGTCATACCAAGTTGATGTGTCATACTCATACTTTAAAATTATGGGAGAGGGTAATTGAAAATAGGTTAAAAAGTATTACAATGATTTCTCATAATCAGTTTGGATTTATCACAAACCAACCCGAGACTTGGAATTAACAAAGGCGGGTACAAATAGTCGAAGAATAAAAATATTAAATTTATATAACTAACATTTTAATAATGAAAGAGCTATAATAAAAAAAATATGAATTAAAGTAAGGCAGTTAAATCTACCTTATATTTGGTTAATGGCATTTTCTTAGCAATTGTTCATCTTTTAATCAATCAAAATAAACATAAATAATTAGTTAAAATAACAGTAAAGAAACAAAACTAATGGATACTCATACACCTAAACTATAGTAATTCAATGAAAAAAAAAACAATATGCATGCCAATCAAACTTTATGTAAATCAATCTAAGATCA